CTCCGAAGGCACGGGGCTGCCAGTTCTGTATGAACGAGGGCTGACAAAAAGGGTCTGAGGCAAATTCACAAGGAAACAAAACGCTTTCACTCAGGCGGGGTCCTCCTACCTGTAGCACGGTGCCTGCCTGGTTGCTTTAAGGCTCTGGATGACAGACTCAAAGGAACATTTCTCCACGGGGAAAGTCCACAGCAGAACAAGAATTACATCTCAAGTAGACAGAGGACAGTGAAAGATTGCACCAGTTAACACCCGCATATCACCTTGGGGTTACAGTCGATGTATTTGGAGAAAGCAAGCTGGCCAAAACATTCGTGAGAACCCTCCAGAACGCACGAGGGCCGTTTTCGCTCCCGTGCCAAACCAGCGACTGGGCAACTTATCAGGCTCACGTGGGCTGCTCCTGGCGCCTCCTCATTTGCATGCCCTGCGGAACTCTAAGGGCCCCGTGTGCGCCAAGTTGCCCCCCCCACCTGCCTCAGTTCAGTGAACCTGGGTCCCTGCCCTGTAGGTCACGGCTGAAATCTGGAGCATCATGCTACAGACCAGGCGACAGAGGTGGTTACAGCTTCCAAGGCAAGCTTCACGAGGACATGCGGTGTCCACACGCGGAGGGGCCCAAAGAGCTCCCCTTGGATGGACAGTACCCACCTCTTGGTAGCCATGGGGGAAGCCTCTACCCCTTTACTCCATCTCCCTCCAACCTGTATGGCTGACTTTGTGTCTGGCACCTTATTTGCTAAGCACTTTGTTTCTCTCATGTATTTCTCCTAACACTTATGGGGACCCTTACCTTCCAGAGCAGGAGACCAAGGCCCGGCAGGGTGGGTCACCGGCCTGAGGTTTCACAGCTAGTGTGTGGTGGAGCAGGGACAAGCCCGTCCTCCTAATCTCTGCCCTCTATCACCTTCTGAAGAAGCTGTAATGAATTAGTGCTCCCCACGGCTCCATGCTCCTGACAGAGGCCCAGACTGGCCCTTGAAACCATGATTCTCCTGCCCGGGCTTTGAGGACAGCCACAGACTGATCCCACCTTCCAAGTCTCATCTGGCTTGCTTTCTCCCCTGACCCAGGCCGGCAGGCTGGCTGGGCTTACTGCCCTCGGCGTCTTCGGCTACCATTCCCTCAACTCTAACCCATGCTTTCGGGCCCCCTGGACTCCAGCTCCTCCAGGAAGCTGTCTCGGCTCTCCAGCCCGTTTCCCTTCTCCAAGAAATTCCCCCAGGACCCTGGGGGCTCCTTAACCATCATTCGGCAGGGCCCCCAGGTCTGAGGCCCAGTTTCACGTGGGTGGGACGGATGCCCTGGCTGGTCTCCCATGACTATCACACACTTCTCGGTGTTTATCACAACAGTGAACACACAGCAGACACCGCAGACGCCGGGAAACTGTGTATCCGATCGGCCGATTTGTACAGAGATAGGCAAGAGACAAGGCCAGGCCGGAGGAGGCTGGAGTGAGATGCACAGCCTTGGACTTTTCGGGAGCTTACCTTTCCTTCTGCGGCTGAGCTCTCCGCATTACCTGCCCGAGAGAGAGAGAGAGAGAGAGAGAGAGAGAGAGAGAGATAGAGAGAGAAAAGGAAGCTCTGCCCCAGCTGGGCGAAGGGCGGTTTGGGGCTGCTCACACATTATCCGCTGATTTGTGAGATCAGTCACCATGAAGTGCAGTCATTGCTCACTTGGGCCTGCAAGGCAAGGGGGGCAACAGCGCACGGGATGCTGCTGTGCGCCTGTCCTGAAGTCCCGCGCCTAAGCAGCGAGTGAGAACCGGCTTCCGCAGGTGGCCGCGCGCGTCCCCTGCGGACTGTCCTTGTGTTACAAGAGAGAGCGCTTGAAATGAAGAAGGCAGAATGAACTGTTAAGACACGAAATCCCGAAGGCAGAGACAGGTGGAGCAGCCAACACAGGGAAGTTGGTGGGGGTGGCGGGTGAAGGGGGAGGGAGGGAGGGCGGAGGCGAATTGTGGGCGGCGGGGGCCCTCCCAGTCGGCTCATCACCGCCCGGGCGCGCACCTGCACAAATCGCTGAGTCCATGAGGCCAGACAACCTGGCCCACCTGTGCACTGAGTGGGGGAGAAGAGAGCAAGGGCAGGGAGGGTGAGCGGAGGAGAGAGACAGCAGTTCGCAGCCCGGGCCGGCCGGCAGCCTCTCCAGGCTCCTACTGCCCGGCTCCGGCAGGCTCCGCGCCCGACCCTGGGGAGGAAGCTGGACCCGGGCCCCCATCTCTTCTCTCGCGCCCCGGCGTCCGTAAGAAGTCCATAAAGAGAGTAAAGGATCACTTCGTAACATTAATTTTTTTTATTAAGAAGACAGATATTTTATAGTACTTTTTTTTTTTTTTTTTTTTTTTGTAAAAATGGTATACATGAACCAATACAAAATGCGAATGGGAACATATGGATATGGAATTTCTTACACCATAACATTGTTCATGTACACCTTAAAAACAGAAGTGGCCTAAAGGGAAAAATAAGACGTCGGTGTGACTAAAGAACAAGCTTATTTGGCATCAATGATACATCCTTCATTATTTTATATTCCTTTAAAAAACACAAAAAACAAGTTTGTTCTTTCTTCACTCTAAAAAAAGTGATCAACCTGTACAAAGTAATACTCAACAATACATTTCAAACAGTGCACTGTATACTTAAGAAAAAATACATAAACCAATATACAACTAAAACCCATAATCTCCTGTTTTTGCTTTATTTTTATTTATTTATTTATTTGTCTTTTCCAATGTGTGGGGCCTACACTTTGCAATCTACCTGAGACGGAAAACACCAATCGAAACACATGAACCTGAGACATGTCAACAATGTAAGCCATAAAGTTACGTCAGGAACACTGCACGACTGTACACTTTGCAAAACAAAGATGGGAGGTCCCAAAAATGAGATGCCAATTTTGTGAGCAATGGTAGGCTTTTTTTTTTCTTCCCCCTAAAAAGAACAACTGAAAAGACCTTTCAACGACATGCTAAATGGTTCTCACCCTTTGATGCGGTTATACTATGCTCAGAATGGGTGCTAAGGGCTCGGAATAGAGCTGCACGTTATAAAATTCATTGAAAAATGGATGTTCGTTGTGGCTTTTTGTCTTAGTTAAGTGCCTAGGGATAGGAGGGGGGAAAACAAAATGCTGCTCAATATGGATTTTCTTTTACATATCAGTCCGTTCCCAAAAGGCCCCCATATTGCAATTGTTCTATCAAAGGTTAAAACAAAGACAAGAAAAATAAACACACTTTCAAATAACAAAGAGTTGATACTTTTTTCCCCCTTAAATAAATCAGCGTAAGTTTTCCACATAATGTAACAATAGTAAAAATGCACCTTGCAAAATCCAAAATTACTCACTGAAAATGTTATATAATATATATTTATATATATATAGATCTCTTTTTTGATGCCATCTTTCCATAGGGACTGTATTCTGGAGTCTGAAGCCTTACCAAAACATATGGTAAGAGTTTTTAGTTTTCGTCCTTCGGGACTACTTCTAGATTTCCTAGACGTATCAGTGAAAATCCCCACATTGCTTTAAAAAAATGCAAATGGTAACTTGACTCCTCTACCTTTTCCCGAGGATCCCCATCTAAGATATGTTCAAGGTAACTTATTTTAGTAGCTATGCACTACGGCTGCCATCATGCGAGGATCAGTAATTTTTGGCAGATGGTTCTTAAGGCTGAGGAAAGAGGCCAAGGCTAGTGTATGAAAGGTAAAAAGATAAAAACACTCACATTTGAGTTTTGATTAAGTAACTGAAAATCCCTACATGCTGTTTTTCCACCTCTGCTCTGACCTTTCGAGAACTGAGATCGACAGCAGACCAGTGTGAGAACAATACCGGCCCTCCTTTTATACCTCCTGCCTTTGTCAAGCCAAATCTGAAGGAATGAAAGTTTCACACGGATTTGAGTTGGAAATCCCAGCATGACAAATATCTGTAATATACAGTACATGCAGGCCACATCCTACTGCCTTCCTAACTAAGCACAAAGAAAAAAAAAAAAAACCAACAAAAAACCAACCCTGTCCCATCCAGTCATTCACACGCCACGCGGACTTGCTTTTTCCTACAAATTAGTGAGAAGTATGGCCGATTGGGAAAGGCGGATGGAATCGTTTGGAACAGAAATAACCAGAGCAGAACTAGCTTTCCCCCCCTCCCTACTTCCCCTCCTGTGGCAACTCAAATTTGTCCACTTATATAAAAGGAACAGACCTCACCTGTCAGGTCCATTTAGGGCATTGAAAAAGGAGGAGCCCTTTCCGCCCCCAAACCTTTCTGGACCGTGTGGGGCATCTATGCTGAGCCGTCTACAGATACAGAATTAAAGACAGATTCAATCTCATTGTGACACACCTCACTTGCAGATAACCTTGTACAGTAATGTAGTTCCACAGCAAACAGAACATTTTCTGAATCACAGTCTAAGTTTCTAGTCTTCACTGCTCTACGTATTTGAAACATGGGTAGCAGCAAAGAGTCCTCATTGTTCACCCAAATCTTTACGACAACAGAGAAGAATGCATTATGGACACACTAAATTCTGAACTATGAAATCTAAACTGTGCTGGTTCTCCTTTTATAGAACTGAACTTTGAAGAGAAAGCAGTTTCTTCAAACAATAACAACAACAAAAAAAGCAAAAACAACAACAAAATCAGGGGAAAAAAGATTCTAAGGAATCCCAGCAGGCAAATTCCAAAATGGGAGATTTTGGAAAAAAAAAAAAAAATCCAAAATTTTTTTGGGGAAAAATAAATGCGCACAAAGGAAAAAGAGGAAAAAAAAAAAAAAAAGGAACACAACAAACAAACAAAAAACAAGGCACAGAATTTCTGCAGTCTACTCGAACTAAAGCCAAGCATCCAAGTTTGACTTGGTAGGAAGAAATAAAACTTAAAAACAAACAAACAAAAAAGAAAAACAATAACAACAACAAAAACAACCCAACCAACCAACAAAAAAAAGAGGTGTCACAGCAGAGCGTACTTTCAAAGAACATTTTTTTTTTTTACACAGCAAATCCCAAGCCTTCCCAGTCTCGCACCTTTCCACCCATTCATAAAAAAACACACGAATTTCTCGCAAGTTCCAACATCACTGTCTCTTTATCATCTAAATAGGGCCAGTTGGACACCTCATTGAAACAAAAAGGCTGATCTAGATGAAGTACTCTTTCTTTTCTTCGGAGTTGTTCTGTCCTCCTTCTGCATTGATTATAGCTGTGTCTGCGTCTGCTGCGTCATCGGCTCCTTTGGCTTCATGAGTGAAGTATGTACCTGAAAGATGAAGGGGTAAATCACCGTGACTGTCTGATGGCCTCTGTGCAAAGTGGTACAGAGATGGCAACTTGCTTTATGGCCATCATCAGCCGAAGTGGTGTGCAGGCAGCAGAGGGGAAAAAAACAATTGGAAGGAGAGAGCGAGGTGGGTGAGACAAATGGGCATCCGGGGGTTCCAAAGGCACCACTCCAACTGAACCGCTGCGATATAATTCAGCAAATGAGACATTAGAGCAGTGATTATGACCAGAGGGTGTCGGCAGAAGAAGACGTGAGTGGGAGCTAAAAATGCAGAAAGCTGGAGAGCTGCTGACTGACGTGTGAACAGTCAACGCCAGGACCAATGACCAGAGATGTGCGCGCACATGGTTAAAGACCAAAGCAAGGCAGAGCAATTAGCCAATTAATGAATTAGGGCCCTGATGATGTTCTACTGTCGCCTCAGCTCGTTTATCTGCCCCTCCCCCCCACCTCCTGTCTTTGGGAGCCCTGGCTGCCTTGTGAGTCAGCGGGGGCCCGCATGGGCACGTCTGACCGTCTTCTGCCTCCCGCTTCAGCGTGGGGTTCCCGATCGAGAAGCAGCTGGTTATCGTAACCCTTGGGATCAAGACTTGAGGTCTATCTTAAGGGACAAGTGAGTCTTGCTCAAGGTGTGACTCTAGCTCGGACCCGGATTCATGGATTCGCTAATTGACACAGCCACTGGAGAATGACGACACACAGGATGCTCCAAGGGGGACACACTTTCATCAGCAGGTCCCAACCGTTTACGGGAGTTTACGGAGAGAGACTAGGGCTGCCCCTCAGCAGGACATCTAGGTAGCACTTGCCCTGCCTACCATAACCCAACAGCCCTCCTCCCGTGATACAGTGTATTCTTGAAGATTCTTAAGGAGAAAAAAAAGGCTGATACAGTGGTGGTTTTTTCAGGTTTTCGTCTGTGACAAATCTGAGCAGGCAGGCGGTCAAATGTCCCCCTCCTGTCCCTTTCTTTCCTCTGGCTCCTCGTTCTCCACAGCTGCTGACTCGACTCGGCCCTGCTCTCCGGCCTCCCCTCCCAGGCTCTATCAAGCCAAGAGGCTGGGCGTTCTCTGCTCAGCGGGCTGCCTCCTGGGCAGGGCAGAGGGTTCCCAAATGGTCCCCACAGAGACGGGCACTGCGGGTGCTCAAGGTGGTTTCAAGTACCTTGGGCCTCCATTGCTGGGCTCAGGGGGCCTTCCCCAAACCCCAATTCTACGATCCAGTGGTATGCAAGTGGCTGCGGTTAATGCTATAGGAAAACCCCACAAGCTCACTGCACAGAGCTGGAGAAAAACAGCGGAGAGAGACAAGGGCCAACAAAGAGAGGGAGAATAAATTACCAAGAGTGGGGGAAGAGGGACCAGAGCAGCATGGGGCACAGAGGAGGAGCGTTGGAAAAGATGATTGCCCATCCAGGCTGCACAGCTGATAAGTGTGATGATTAATGGCAATTTAAATCAATTGCACTGGTAATTTAAAAAAAATACATATTTATGTGGCTTTTAAAGCACATCAAAGCAAGGAAGTATTCTAGCTGCTGTGACCATCCTCCCCAGAGCTTGGGACCAGGCAGCACTGCGTGTCCACCTGCTTCCCAAAAAGCAGCAGAGGGTACAGGCACGTTCTTCCCATGTCAATTGCTTTGGGGTTCATGCCCCACCTCTCACACCCGGCCCCTATTTTTATAATTTTTGCTCCAGGCCCAATTACAGAGTGCAGAATCCCACGTCTAGAAAGCTTTTAGAGAAAATCCAAATCAAGAAGGGCTCATCAACCCTCGGAGTCCTCATCAGCAGCTGCTAAGATTTCTGTTTTTTTTTTCTCTCCCAGTTTCGGGAAACCTCGATAAGGCTGTGTGACCACATAATCGAAACCGCCCATGGAAGAAAACCTTGTCCAGTCCCCAGAGGCAGGGGCGGTGGTGGCGGGAGACCTCCTGCCTGCCAGAGCACCTTGCTTACCTTTATGTCTGGCAAAATAGCGGCCCAGAATGATGAGCAAACACAGCATGGCGAACACGACCACGGCCACGACACCGCCGATCACGGCGTGATCCACCGCTCGGATGGCGCCCTCCTCGCCCGCTCGAGAATCTGTCGGAATCAGAAAAGGAACAGGGCTGTAGAGCTCGTTGCAAGACACCAGCAGCCCTGGCCACACTGCCTCCGGATCGGAGGTCACCTTCTTTTCTAATGGAGGAGTCAGAGCGACAAGCCAGGTGGATCCGGTGACACCAAGGGAACACACTGACCTGTCCAGTGCCGGACCGATCTGTTCTCCCCGCAAGGCAATTTTGTGATACGCAGCAGAGGAGCACTAAGGGACCAGGGAGAGAAGAAACGGTCTGTCTGGTGCTGGCCTGGTCTTAGCGCTCCCTCCATCTGTGTCCTGCTGCAGATCCCAACCAGGAGGCCCACCTAGCTACTCAAGGGCACTGGGGATGGCGCCTTCGGGCCCTGGAGGGGAGGCGACAGGAGCTTTCAGTAGGTGCCCAGCGACTTCTTCCCCGCCAGGCACGTGCACAGGGAAGGTGCTCACAAGCCACAGCTGCCTCGAGATAAAACAAGGCTTATAAAACTAAAGACAGGTGACATGCTTGCTACATTCAGGATGTACGAGGGAGTAGGCCTCCTTTGAAAACCTAAAAACCTATTTCAAAAAACAGACAGCAAGGAATAATTGTCCATTGCCACAGGCGGGTTTCCTTTTATTTATTTAACACTTCACGAGGCAATTAATTTTCCTTTATAAGCATCACTCCCTCGGGGTGTCTTCTTCCGACGGAGGAACGACACGTTTGGCTGGGGAACAACTCCAAAATGAACCCAGAATGAGCTATGGCGATGCGGAATGGATGTATGGCAGTGTAAACAATTTTAATTTAGGAATGTGGCTACATCACCCCTTGCTGAAATCCTAATGGCACCCGAGATTTATAATGTAGTAAAAAACAATTATTCTCCCGTTGATTAATACATTAACATTTTGGAGTGGAAGCTAAACCATTGTCTTTTTTTTTATTGAGTCAAGTACGACACCTCCATTAAAATGATTTACTAGCTGTACCTTACAATTTAAGCACAGCAGCAACAGAAACGGTAAAAATCTTTTAACTTTACATGATTTGTGAAGTCATATGTGAAGGATTTACCATTTAAATCTTTCAGTACAAGAAGCACATGGCCCTATAAATCTGTCCCCCTTGCAGTTGCTGGACGCCTGAGAGAAATGCATTTCACCAGGAAGACGGAGAGTGCAAATTCAAGTCAATTTTTAAGAAAGATTTATCTCTGTCTCTCTCCAAAGAACAGAGCAAATCTCTGAAGCCTCCACCTCTAATAATATTTGAAGTTTATCGATCAAGTGTACAGATCCGTGACAGCTAAAGGTAATGGTGCTCTTTTGAGCCGAAACCTGATACAACGCTTTCAGCAGGAGGGCGTGATTTACACTTTCTATCGATATTTCCAATTCTGCTCTGAGATTAAATACTGAAGGATGTGGGGAAAGAACTGGTGACCGAGGGGTCCACGAAAAGTGCTTTAATTAAAAGAGTTTAAATTTTAAAAAATGAAGTATTTAAAGTGTTTCATTAAGTTACCTTTCCAAGGACCAAAAAAGCCCCAAACTCCCAACCTAAACAGAAATGCCAGATCGGAGGCAGCAGCAGGTCGCCCAGGACAACAGGATGATGGGAGTTTAATTGGAGAAGGGAGATGGGTTGGAGGCAGAGTGCACTGCAGCCAATTAGCCCGCTCCATGATGTGCGAGCCCCTCCAGCAACCTATCTAATAAGCTCGACTTGAAACGCGGTGGAGACAAATCGCCCTCCTCGGCCAAAAGTGTTGCCTACTGCAGAGGCAACAGCCTCTGTGTCTTGAAAGTCATCTCGTCGGGGCAGAACTCTGCCGTGGAAACTTCTTCTTTTAGAGACAACACAGCTTGTGGGAGGGGGGCCCTCAACACAGGGTATCTGTCCGAGGAGAGCAATTCACACCCCGGAGACTCTCGCCCAAGTGCACAGAGTCAGCATCGCTGGTGGGAAGAGGGAAAAACAGAAAAGCCAGGAAGTTGTGTTTTCTTAGGGAGCTGTCAAAATGGGGGATCTTGTGGGAATGAAAATGCTTTAATTTTCTGCCATGAGCTGCAGGCCTATTGAAAAAATAGGAGTCTTTCAACGGACTCCCTGGGTCTTAGGCGTGGATAGGGAAAATAGCCATACTAGCCACGGAGGAGAGGGGAAAGTGAGGGGTGGGAGCTGAGAGCGGCCTGGGGAGACTGAGAGCAGAAAGAAACTTCAAGAGGCCGTCCCGGTTCCAGGCACAGACCTAAATAACCTGTCTCATGGCCGCTGTTCAAAGACTGCCTCCTCCACGCCTAGGCACAGGAACATTCTAGAAGCCTGAGAAAGCCAGAGACAGAGAAGCTGTGATCCACAAAACACCTCACGGGCTGTGTATCTGCGGGATTAATTTCCTTAGCCCGAACTCTTTGTTGGATCTTTGCTCCTCATGAACTAGGGGCTCAATGGGGTCAGTGCTGCCTAGTCGCCCCAGCACTTTGCCCACATTCAGTACCTGGGTTCTAGTGACCTTCCCCGCCCTAAAGGACATACATATTTTACAGATACTTATTCACAAGGGTAATCTCTCCCACTATCCCGTGATAACTCACTTGATAAGAAAGTTTACTACCACCCGTTAATCACCCAGACATTTTTCCTGCCTTCAGTTACCGCAGAGGGACACAGAAAGCAACTGGGGTTTCCTTTACAGGGAACACGGCCGTCTGTGCGCCCCTCAACACCTCTCTGCACCCCAGCCCGGGTTCACTGTCCTCTGTGAAGAGCAACGTGCTTTCTTGCCTCCACTCACTCCTCCCTTGTTTCCACGTGTGGGCTTTGGGAGAGTTTGCAGAGCGCTCTCGACTGGCCTCCGGTGGGAGGGATCAGAGTGAAAGCTGGTTCCTGTGAAGGCAGAAGGGCCTGCACCCGCGGGCTGGGGCCTCGCTCAGGGCGAGGAGCAGCAGCACGACTGTACACCAAGAGGCAGCAGGCAAGTGGCTGGAGGCTGCAGGAGGAGCGTGGCTCTGACAAGTCCCGCAGCCGCCCGGCCTTTCCTGTTCTTCTCCCCAAGGGAGAGCTCCGGCCCGCATATTAAGGAAGTAACTTCCACCATCATCCAAAGGTCCTGCTCCTCTTAGGGTGCAGACCTTTTCCCTTTGAGGTGCCACCAACGTCCCTGGGGAGGTATCCTCCCTTTTTCTGAATCATGTAGAGAAGGAAACCAAAGAGCCAGACTCCACAGCTGTCCCCGGCTTCTACCCTGAAAGGACACGTGGGCAAGGAAAGCACTTAGAAACACGCCTGGTCCTTAGGCGAGTAAACAGCTCTTGGGTTCAGAAGGTCTTTTTTCTTATGCTTTTGAGAAACGAAGTAACAGGTGTCCCTAAGAGTGCTCCCACTTCTGGGACTGAGCTGGGCCCTATCATCCTGTGGAGGAAACGCCATGTTTCTCCTTGGTGTGTGCTGCTGGCATCAAGGTTCTCCCAGCCTTGACCTAAGCACGTTTGGGTGGAGTGATGAGTGTCACCCCCAATCCCTTCACGTGCGATGTTGAGTACCTCTGGCCCAGTGGTGCCATGGTTCCGGCTTTCCGGGGCGCTCTGTGGGCACTGGGAAGAGGGGCCGTACAGGCTCCCGGTTGTGGCACAGTCCTGCCTGCCTGGACCGTCCCCTCTTGCAGCCCTGTCCGAGGCTCTAAGTGTGACATACGTACGTATCTTTAAGGACAGATCAATCGTGAGCTGTTTAGTATTTGCAAGTTGGCTTTTCTTTGGGCAAAAAGCTGGAACTGGGCTCCAGGTGAGAGTTTCCGAGCTGCGCACAGAACGTTAAGTTGGTGACTACCGCCTGGGCCAGAGCTCCCACCACCCTGGGCTCGAGTCAGCATCTTAGAAACTGCAAGGACAAAAACATTTCAAAGGGACTCCCAAGAGGGCAGCCCCCAGCTGCTCGGTCCTCTTCACCTTGGGTCAGGGACCCGGCTCCCTCCATTCCTCAACACGCAACATCAAGGGGCCAGTTCTAAAGGCAGGGGTTCCCGAGGGCCTGCCAAGAAAAGTGATTGCTAGGGCCAAGTTCAGGCTCCTTCCCCCACCTCCAGGGAATTCCTTCCTCTCTGCTCACTTTCCCTCCTCAGACGACTTGCCAGAACCGTCCTGGTGGGACGAAGTGAGGCCACCACTTCGTCCCCTGGCACGGGGCGCCTCACAGAAACCGCCAGGGGAATGTCTTCATTGTGGATGTGTGATAAGACTAGGAGGCTCGGCTGCCAGAGGTAGGGATTCATGGCTCGTGTGTCCCCGACCAGCTCCTGGCAGAGAGGGACTCTGGCAGAGGATGTCACCGGGCAGAAGGCTCAAGGCCACCGTGGCCTGCCCACCGTGCAGCCCGGGCTGGGCTTTTTGCCAAAAGGACACCAAGCTCCCGACCTCTGAGGAGCTGAAGTGTGACCCGGTTAAAACATAAATGCACGGAGCAAACATACGGCAGAGGGCACGACAGCCACCCTGGTTGGCTTACCTTCCCATTTTCAAAAATCCCTGGCTCAGGCTATCTATGTGCTCCGGGAGAGCTGGGGCTCCTCTTAAACCCATCTGTTTCTTCTTCCCCTAGGCCACAGACCACCTCAGGTCTCACCTTAGAAATTAGTATTTAAAACATGGTAGGGGTTCTAATGCTACTGGTCTGCTTCCCTGTCTTGAGCAATTCCTACGCTCAACCCTTCTGCCCTTTCCGTACCCAACGAACAGCTGGAAAAAAGTGGAGACTCTTGACTTTTTGCAACAGTTCTGTCCCTTGGTTTGCTTTGAGCCTTCGTCCTGGGCTGAGGGCTTGCCGGACAAATCCGTTTAATTAAAAAACTCTCAGCATCCGTGTTTCTAATGGAAATGCTGCCTCCAGCTTCCTAGGACCGTAGGGATCAGTCTGTCTTAGAGGACGCTTAATGATATCATTCGCTACTTCTCACGAGGGAGAAAGAAAAAGCCTGCTGGTGGGGAATTCCAACCAAAATCTGACCTCGAAGACAAA